GAATGAATTTTCCTGCTAGGATTTGAATTGTTGCTCTAAATGAGGGGTTTTTGTCTCTTTAAGTAAAGCAAGCTCAGGTTTCTTTAAATTTTTTTTCCTTTGTTTTTAACTTGCTGCATTTTGCTGCTTTGTAACTACTGCTAATAACTGCCATTTATTTTTCTTTGAATCCCCTTTCTGCATCATGTGCATATCACTTCCAGGGGTTTTGGTCCAAAATGCCAGGGTCTCTGGCATGTGCTGCTTTTATTTTTAGAACAAAGAACAGTGAAAGATTTGCTTTGTGGAGAAACTTTCTATGAGGAATTACATGGACTTTGCAAATTGAGGTAATGAAAAATGATCATCTATTCTAAAGATAAATGAGTATTTTTCACTACTAAAATGAGTGAGTCTTTTCACACACCCACCCATTCCCTCCTTCCCCTGATGCCTATATGTTGTCTGCTCAGTCACTGTTAAGGTTAATCACCTTATCATTAAACAATTATTCTCTTTGCAAAATGGAACATTTTAGGTTTATACAAGTACAAAAGATCTTCCTTGCAACTCCAGTGTACTAACCTCAGGGCACACGTTTGCACTTGGCTTTCCTTTGTTACTCAGAACACAGCAGTAACTATTCCTTAGCCCATTAGTTCCTTTGTATATTGTCAGGGGAGCCTCCATTGTTTATGTACAGCCAGGATGCTCATACTCTTATCTGTAACTCAGATTGGTTATTGGGTGGTGAAGGACACAGGAACAGAAATTTAGTATTTTGTATTACAAAGTAGGTTAGTTGTTCACATTAAAAAAAAAAGGGGGGGGGAAGGTAAACAAGAGACAGAAGTATGATCCCACAAATTATTTAAGACACTTTTTTAAGCCTTCAGGTATAAATCCTCAATGAGAATAGTGCAACAATGGATGAAGGGAGAATTAAACAGGGCTTTTTGATTTGTAAAAATCTCTGATTCTCTTTTCTTGGTGTTTGAGAGAGATCTGGGAACAGGAGGAGATATTTTAATTCTTTCTTGTTTGTTGCATGTTAACAATCAGCTATTTCTAGCCCACTGGGAGAATGGGAAGCAAAGGGTTGACTGTAAGAGCAAAGGGGTCTGTTAGAGCAATGACTCTACGGATCGCTGTAAGACGGGATTGACAGCAGGTTGGTGACAATTATCTGGTAACATCTGAACTGTGTAAAATCTGTTCATTACAAAGCCTCTATTGAATTATCTATTTTAAAATACAGATAGAGAAATGGATAGTATCTGAGGGTCTCTGAGAATACCCTTGTCGGAAATGGAATTTTTGTCCTGGTCTGAAATTTCCCTAACATTGCAATTGCAACTGTTGTTTTAACGTGTACCTACTTTATCTCAGAGTGAGGATAGCAGAATAATTAAATATAAATTGGAAGAAATAAACATTTACTGCAGGGGGTGTTTTGTAAAGTGGAAATAAAGTAATGCTCAGAGCTACCTGCAATTCTTTTCACATTCTGTATCTGTAAAGGTTCCCTAAACCTAATTGTAGTTAATGCTAATAACTTAATAGTGCAAATCATGTTAGGAGCAGGATGAAGTCTCATATTTAGCCACAGATTAAATTATATGCATGGGCATTAGAAAGTCCCTCTGGGCTGAGAAGCCAGCTCATATACAGAGAGATGGCCTAAAGAAGCTGAGAAGCCTTTTCCCCTAAGGTCAGCTGTAAGTTAACAGAAGCAGAAATAAAACTTCCCAGAACTCACTTCAAAGTACTCTTTTTCCCTTCTTTTCAAAGACAACTTATGTTTAAGGAGCCACCATATCCAAGTAGAGAAATTGTGTTTTATCTCTTCCCTCAGTAAAGGACCACTTCAGTCCAGCAACTTAACAATTTAGAAAATCACACCGGAACTCTCAGGATGCAGAACAGGAACAATAACCAAAATAAGTAGAAAAAACAGTGGCATGTGCTCTCGTCATTCTCTTTGAGCAGACTGAAAACAGGAGGCTGATTCTCACCTTGGCTCAACTGGTGTAGGTCTGGAGAAATGCTGTTAATACCTTTGAAATTACATAAGTAATTGAAATACAGATTGATCCACTTATGTGTTCATAACTTTGCAGGCATTAGGGATTGTTATTGTGTAAAGTTACACATGCAGGGCACAAATGATGGCATCAAAGAGAGAAATTTTAATAAGATCCTTGGAAGCTTGTGTTCAGAAAGAATGCATTATGCAATATTGTTTGAATATATCTATAGCAGCTTAATTAGGCTTGCAAACCATCCTTTCAATGAAATCCTTGAATTATTAGACATACTCTTTCAGTTGTCTGCATATGTCCATGTAATTCAGCACTTCACTATCCTGTTGCGTGTGCTTCCAGTCTCTGCACTAAACTGCAGAACGTTATTTTGCAAATTTTGCTGACTTGCTGCCCAGATAATTCAGCTCTGGTAAGGCTGGGGTATTAATTTATTTTGGGGCCTTCTTTCATAACAGCCAAGGTTGAGCCAGCAGTCAATAAGTAAACATGTAATTGTGTGTATCTGCATTGCAGAATCTTCGGCCTCAGGAAAGTCGGACCGTGTTCAGTGGCTCTGTCAGTATCCCATCAATCACGAAATCCCGCACAGAACCAGGCCGATCGATGAGCGCAAGCAGCGGGTTAGCAGCACGTAAGCAAACAGAACTGTGTTGCTTTGGGGTCTGTGCACAAGTATTTCAGGGAAACAGCCACCTGCATTTGCTCCTATCCATACTGCTGCTAGACAGGATTTTCAAAAGCGATGGCTGACTGTGTTCCCATTGAGGGCAAGCATAGTATTTTAATCTTGCTTTCAAAGGAGCACATGAATAGCACTTTTGAGAGTCCCACATTTGTAAATTGTCAAATTTTTAAAACTGACATTAGAATTAAAATTACATTCTTACCTTTGGGACTACTTTGCTGCTGCGTAAGTGTTTTAAACCAGTGGCAAGTTGTTCACAAGCTCCATGGTTATTAACTTTGTTGCTGAACTGTGTAGGGCTCTTGATGCCTCTCTTGCTGTTAGTGCAAAGGGAAAGCAGTGGAAAACTGGCTGCTGGAAGAGTTATATTGCACTGGAAACAACTCTCCTAGTGCTGCCTTGGTGTGCCAGAGACCAGGCAAGTGAATTAATAATGGACTATGTGAAAACAGAGGCAAAACTGGTGTCCCAACTTTTTTAGGTTTTTTTCCCCTTTCCTTCCTGCCAACTGCTTGCAGAGTGTATGTGTCTGTTGTAGTCTGTACCTGCTGGTACAACCCACCTACTCCCTGGGAAAGAGGACACTGGAACTAGGCTGCCACCACAGCAGTTTCTACAACTGCTGTCTTTGTTGGGAACAAAGTGACTGTGTCTGTGCTGGGTAAAGTGTGCTAATGCTGACGTGCCAAGGGAGGGACAACAGAATCCCTAGGAAAACAGCACAGAAGAAAGCTCACACAGCTTGCAAGCCATGAGCTGAGCATCTTGGGACATGCTGGAGGGAAGCAGAACTAAGCAGAGAAACAGCTAACAACTGTGTAGTACCATGATTGGGCATCTGTAACAGTTTAATTCCTCCACACCTTTTAGGATCGTCTGCACAAAACGGCAGTGCTTTGCGGAGGGAATTCTCGGGAGGTAGCTACGGAGCAAAGCGTCAGCCTATGGCATCACCCTCAGATGGTTCCTTATCCTCTGGTGGCCTGGACCAGGGCAGCGATGCACCAACAAGGGACTATGAGCGAGAGGTGAGTGACTGGAGAAAGAGGAGAAAATTTAAGTGTGTTGATAAAGATGAGGAAGTTAAATTCTGTCATGGGTGTGGCTACAAATCTGGGAGTCATTGACAATGAAGATTTGGATTTCCTGTAGTTCAAGCTATCCTGACAAAAGCCTGTGGTCAAACTGTGTCAGCTCTGGTCCTGGTATTTAATATGCAGAAAACACTCTCTGTGTGCCTTACCTGGAGAGACGTGGGTAGTGAGGCTCCCAGAAATACTGTCCCCGTAGAGTAGCAGCTTGATAGCGACCTGTCCCAACTTGAAGTGGTGATATTCCTTCTGCCCTTTATTTGTGAAGACTCTTTAAGCTACCTTAGCAACAGTTTCACAGGAGACATTTTGTACTCAGAGTGCCTGAAGTTAACAAGGTAATGTAAGAATTATCATATAATAATTTAATTTAGAGCAGAAACTGGATTTAGTAATTTATGTTCTGTGCAGAACAAATAGGACTGCAATCCAGCCCAGTGCTAAACTTGGTCCCTGCAACCAAGAATATTTTACATGGGAGGGTTCAATCTGAAGCTGGCCAGGTAAACTTCCCCAGACGGTTTTCTTACCAAGGAGTGAAAAAATAGAGATCACACGTGGTGCTCAATATATCCTTCCAGTTGAAGCTGGAAGGCAACTGTCAACCCAAACTCAAGCTCAGACATAGTTGCATTCTACTGTACTCTGGAAGATCCAGCTGGTCTAACTTGATAGGATGCTTTGAATCAATATCCTGGGAGTGAGACATAGAGGAGGTAGCTGTGATGAAGCCCATACCACAAAGACTCAGTCTAGTGCAAGAGCATCTCAGATCATAATCTGTTAAAAGGCTGGAGCCATTGTAGCTTCACAAGCAACCTGAAGTTGCACACTTCCCTGATCAAGAGGTCCTCAGCAACATGCAGACTGCAAAATCCCTCAGGTGCTGTGTCCTTATGTCAGTGTGAGTTATGCCTGCTGAAAGCAGAGCGATCTGACCACTTACTCTTAAGTCTCCCCAGACCAGGAAATTCTAAGCAACAAACATTCCTTGGTATTTTTGGACACAAGCAAAATATACAGAGGCCTTTGAATCCAGTCATCTGTTGCTCAGACACCCTCAGTCACGCTCAAATTTGCTATCCTGTTACTTACTGGTGTTCTTCTGTGTCTTTGGGCTGCAGGACTCTGACTCTCCAAGACACTCTACTGCATCAAACAGCTCCAACCTCAGCAGCCCTCCCAGCCCGGTTTCTCCTCACAAGACCAAGAGCCTCTCCCTGGAGAGCTCTGACCACGTGAGTTGGGACTCATGAACTGCTTCAGCATTCAGATTTGACATCACAGCAGCTTGCTGTCCCCATGGCTGTCCCCTTCACTTGTTCCAGTTCTCACCTTCATCATCCTAACCCTCCCCATTCCCTATCTGAAAGTGATCTGGGAGTGGGGTAGAGAGGAAGGTAAAAGCTGGTCATCTTCAGCACTGTTCGGCACTGCCTCACCCTCCCTTCCCCAGATTTGACAGCAGCAAATGAGCAAAGCTAGGGTGTTGGTAAATATCAGATGCTGTAGATTTGTATTAGTATTGGTTTCATTTTTGTGGTTACAGCTGCTTCATTTTTAAAGACATATTTATCCCACCCCCCCCTTCCACTTCCCAAAAAGTAGTTTAAGTAGACCAGACCAGTATCAACAAGAGAAAATTCAGAGGGATTTTGTTTTGATACAATAGCTCATTGTACTGTACAAAAGTAGCACAGACCCCTTCCCCTGCATGGGGAATGATCAGTATGTCAGAGGCACATAAAAGCTTTCAGCCACCACGTTTGAATGTCAATCTGATTGTCGCCAGCAAATCCTTATTGATTAAAATGATGCATATTTTACTACAGTACAGAGTTTAAATAAATACGCAGATGTTAGAGTAAAATACATATGTATATATTCAAAGAAAAAAAGCATTGTGTATGCAGCAGAAGATGGATGCTTATTTAAGAGAGCCTTTAATTTAAGATTTGTGTTGTCCCTGTTTTCATGCTCGGTAATAGACAGACTTGGAGGCCTGGCCTAAAACCTTTTGCAGGACAGATAATCCTTTTGCGTAGCAGTTGCTGCACTGCTGGGAGAGGTCCCTGCAGTGCTTTCACAACATTTCTTTACTTCTGGTGGTAGCATAACTGAAGCTGTAATTCCTACTTTCACGGTAATCCCCATCCTTTGCAAAAATGACGATTGGAAAGCAACCCCCTGCCCCAGCAACCAAGGGCACCAGCCAGCCAGGTGGCTGCCCTGGTTCTTGCGTGCTGGCTGCGCTGCTGCGGCACCGTACAGCACGCTACAGTAGAGGTCCTTAAGGCAGCAAGGGAG